ACCCCCAGATGCTTTATCTTTTGATAGCCGGGTACCATCAACTTTCTTCACCACATTTGCTTATGCACACGTTTGTCTTCAGCTACCGTGTTGGGAAGGTGGGTATCATGGAATGACCGTTTAGTTGACTAAAGTGTTCTTGTATTGAGGGAGTATGTAAGTGAAGGCCCAATGTCCATCTGCTACCCTACTACTAAACCTATAAATATATGCACATAGATCTATTTTCCCCATAATCATAAATATATCTACATATGTACATGCCTGTATTTAGTCCTCTATGTATGCCCTTTGTCTCTTACTTCTTTCTTCTAGTTCCTTTTGCTTTCTTCTTGTCCCACTATCATGCTCAGCATTCATTTGGGTTTCAGCAATTCTCGGTTACATTGCCCTTGATCACTCTCTACCAGTCCTCCCACCCCCTCCTTGCCATTGGTTTTGAATCACTTGTTGTTCCCTTGTCCCTGGGTTGGTTAAGACCTCTTCCCTTCCCCCACCTCCCACTCTCCCAAGCCCCCCCCCCCTGCGGTCCTGTTGTTTTCTTCACCACATTGTTTATCCAGCCTATCTTATCTAGATAGACCTGCAGAGATAATAATATGCACACAAAATCTCGACAGTGCCAAACTAAGTGACACACAAAGACAAGGCGGGTAATGTTTTTTAAGTCCATTCTTCTACTCTTTTCCTTCTGATTGGAATATCTATTTCATTTACATTTAATATAATTACTGTTAAGAAATTACTCTTATCATTTTATTATCTGTGTATCTTTCGACCCTTTTTTCTTGTCCTTTAGTACTACTTGCTTTTATGTTTTGTTGGGTTACTGTAGTGAGGCTTATTGTTCTTTTCTCCTTTCATATATATATTTTTAATATTAATGACAACCATGAATAATGCATTTTTTAAATCATTTTATTAGAAGCTTGTACAACTCTTATCACAATCCATACATACATCCATTGTGTCAAGCACATTTGTACATTTGTTGCCTTCATCATTCTCAAAACATTTGCTTTCTACTTGAGCCCTTGGTATCACCTCCTCATTTTTCCCCTCTCTCCCCTTACCCCCTCCCTCATGAACCCTTGATAATTTATAAATTATTACTATTCTGTCATGTCTTATACTGTCTGACGTCTCCCTTCACCCACTTTCCTGTTGTCCATCCCCTAGGGAGGGGGTTATATATAGATCCTTGTGATCAGTTGCCCCTTTCTACCCCACCTTCCTTTCACCCTCCTGGTATCACCACTCTCACCACTGGTACTGAGGGGTTCATCTGTCTTGGGTTCCCTGTGTTTCCAGTTCTTATCTGTACCAGTGTACATCCTCTCGTCTAGTCAGATTTGTAAGGTAGAACTTGGATCATAATAGTGGGGGTAGGAAAGCATTTAAGAACTAGAGGAAAGTTGTGTGTTTCATCGTTGAGACATTGCACCCTGGAATAATACATTTAAGGGCTTGAGTTGATAGCATTCTAAATTAAGTTGGTACCAACTCAGCTTTAGTAACATTTCAGTGTATTATTTTTTGCTTTTGTTTTGTTCTCCATTGGTATGACTTTTTAGTTTACTTTTGTGTTGTTGTTTTTTAAAAAACAAACAAACCAAAAAAGCAAAACTGGAAACCTATATATCCTAGGTGATCTTTTAAAACAAAATATGTGGGTTTTTCCCCTCTGGTTTCCAAAGTAGTCTCATGCTGAACTGAGTGTGCTTTCGCTTCAGAATTAGTCAGTGTGTCTCCTCATTGCGAAATACAAGTGATCCAGAACCTCTGCTTTATGTCTGGTGTAGTTTCCTGCTGCATGTCATATTATTTTTTAACCGTGCTAGTAATTGCAGCATCCTCTTGTCTAATAACCACTCACTCATGTTGCAGGCAACATCTAGACTAAGAGAAAGAGGATGTGATGGCTGCCTGGCAGGAATTGAAGTTCAGCAACTCTTCTGTTCTCAAAGTGCAGCAATTCCTGACCACCAGCTGAAGGAACTGAACATCAAAATTGACAGTGCTTTGCAAGTAAGTTCCTGAGGGCTAATATATTGATGTTTGAGGAGCCCTGGTGGTGTAGTGGTTACAAGTTGGGCTGTTAACAGCAAAGTCAACATTTCAAAACCACCACCCATTCCTTGGGGAAAAAAAGACAAGGCTTTCTATTCCTGTAAAGAGATACAGTCCTGGAAACCCACTAGGGCAGTTCTACCCTGTCCTGTAGGGTTGCTGTGAGTTAGCGTCGACTCAGTGGCACTGAATGATTCTGACTTTTGAGAAATGGGAAAGAAGGAAGGCCTTAAATTTGTGTTTAACCAAATGCAAAGTGCAATAAAATAATAACTGGCCTGGAATCTTTTAATAAGTTTTCTTTTTCCTTTCTCACTGCCATCGAGTCTATGTGGATTCATAGTGACCCCCTTTGGGTTTCCAAGACTGTAATTGTTCATGGAAGTACAAAGCCCAGTCTTTGTCATGAAGAGCTAGCTGCCAGTGGCTTCGCCCTGCGACCATGTGGATCGCGGCCCAACTTGTAACCACTATGCCACTAGGGCTCTATTTTATAGAAGTTTTAAATTTCTATTTTTATTAGACTTTATCATATTATATTCTGCTGTATGATCTTGATTCTTGAACCATATTCTTGCAGGCATATAAGATAGCTCTGGAAAGCTTAGGTCACTGTGAATATGCAATGAAAGCTGGCTTCCACTTGAATCCAAAGGCAATTGAAGCAAGTTTACAGGTATACTTTTATTTCTGGTAACATCTCCTATATACTGTGTGCCGTGATAGAGGGAGCCCAAGATCACTGTGCCTCTCCTGTCGAAATCTTTTCCAGGGCTGCTGCAGTGAAGTGGAAGCCCACCAGACAGGGAGGAGGCAGACTCCCTCTCAGCCCATGCAGTGTGAGCTCCCCACCGTCCCTGTGCAGATAGGATCGCACTTCCTGAAGGGTGTCTCCTTTAACGAGTCGGCCGCCGACAATCTGAAACTTAAGACGGTAGCTTTCCATGGGGTTCCAGCAGCCCAAGTGTGAACTTATAAAAAATGGTTCTTAAGGGAAACCGTGAATGTGTGAAGAATGTATATTAAAAAACTAGTCAAGTCAGGAGGCATTGACTTTCTACCTCAATGAGCTAGTGTATGTAAAAAAAGCTGACCTATAGAGATTTTTTTTAATGAGATGTTTGCCAAGTTGCTTTTATTTATAACTTTTAACTCTTTCACACAAAGAGATTTGAAAGGTACTGGATAATAAAATTGTGATTCATATTATAAAGTAGACTTTCACAAATTGAGAGGTATTGTCACAGTATTGTAATAATGAACATTTATAGAGCATCTTCTGTGTCAGGTATTGTGCCAAGTACTTTGAGTGCACTTACTGTCTCATGTAATGCTCATGTATGAGGTGGGTTCAGCCTCCCCTCACCCCCGGGCCACGGGGCACACAGGGGAAGTGAGACCCAGCAGCTCATAGAGCCAGAAAGTAGTAGAATCAGAGTTTATTCAATCTGTTTCCCAAAGCGTGTATACCCAACCACTTGGCCATACAAAATACAGTTGAGGTTTTGATTGGCATTGATTTTTACCAGATGAGTTCATTTCCTTATTTAGAGGAATTAACTCAGAATTCCTTCATTTGCCTCTGTAAATTTCTAGATGGTACTATAGTTTGTGCTAGTACAGAAATTTAATGTGCATAGTAACGGTTGAGGAAATCCTCAAGGGTTGAGGACATCCCTGAGAGTGACTAATTAGAAATTTAGTTAGGAAATTAAAATGACACGATTTGGATTTAAACAAAAATGCTCTTCTCTTGAGAATGACTGTGTATCTATAAACCAATTCGTACAATGTTAGAACCTGGCGTGGCATTGATCTGGTGGTGTGATGAGCTCCCCTCTTACCCATCTGTAGCATGCGATGGTACAGCTGATAAAGCAAGCAGGCTGCTGTAATGGAATCACACCCAGGGACGATTTTCCTGTGACTGAAGTGCTGAACCAGGTGTGCCCATCCGTGTGGCGGGGGGCCTGCAAGACTGCCGTGCAACTGCTGTTTGGCCAGGCTGGACTGGTGAGTGAGTGTGTGCATGACAGATGAAAGACAGAGAGCAGATTTTCAGGAGCATGAGGTTGAGGCTGTATGCACACAGGGAAAACACTGAATGATTAAACCTTAAGAAGGCTTTTTTTTTCCTTTTGCAGAATGATGTATTTTTAGGTGACCTAATTGCAAAATGATGGTGTAGAATTATATTTATAAGGAGCCCTGGTAGCACTATGGCAGTTCAAGGCTAGCAGCCATACCATGGGAAGAAGATGAGTCTGGTTGCTCCAGTAAAGATTTGCAATCTTGGAAACCCTAAGAAGCAGTTCTACTCTGTCCTGTATGGGAGTCACGATGAGTCAGAGTCACCACAGTACAGTGGGTGGCTTTGGATTTGTTCGTTGGCTTGACTGAGCCCTAGCCCATAGCTACAGTGAATATCTTTCTATCCCTCAAATTTATGCTCTTTTACCTGGAAACACATTTCTGTCTGATCTTTACATGGCTCACTATTTCCCATGAGTTTGGCATCAGCTCAAATGGCACCTCCTCAGGGAGAAAGCTGCCTCTGACCATGCTAGGGTAAGTGGTGCCCCATCCACAGCAGTTTGTGTCTGAACTCTGCAGTGCTCTCTTAGCCCTCAAATAATAACATCACAAAAAGAATGGCGTCTGTTGGTTTATTTGTTTTTTACATCTTTTTTTTTTTTTTAACATTTTATTAGGGGCTCATACAACTGTTATCCCAATCCATACATCAATTGTGTAAAGCGCATTTGTACATCGTTTCTCAAAACATTTTCTCTCCATTCAAACCCCCGACATTAGGTCCTCATTTTTCCCCTCCCTCCTGTTTTTTACATCTTTGGAGCGAATGAAAAAACTTGCCAAAGGGAGGTTAGATCAGGATGTCAGTATCTGAAACCACTGTTTTAGTGTGACACTTATGGCCCATATAGTCTCATGTGCTTGACCTTACTTTTCTCAAATTAAACTACAGCCGTTTGAAAATACACAGCATTTTAGTCAGAAGGAAGAAGAAGCTAATTAGAAATGAAGGGCTAATGAGAAAATCGAGGAGAGCTTGTTAGTTTTCATTTCTACTTTATGCAAGAAAATGGTTGTTGGCAGAATACTGTTCTTCTGTTCATGCACATGAGTGCTCGGGTGGATCCAGGTCAGGGTGGCCAGGTCATTTAAAGGGATTGATGGGTGCCTATTGATTTCAGAACCCACAAGTAAAAGAGTAAACTACTCCTAACTTTAAATGGAGCCAGATTTCCAAAGGTCATTTAACAAACTGGGAGCACTGGCAGGGAGTTCTCTAGGGAGAAGTATGTAAAACAACCAGTTTTGAGAAAACAGTGTAGGTTAAGAGAAAAAAAGCTCTTATGGTTTTCAGGGAGCACAAAATCATTCCTATTTCCCTACCCCTTGATCGCAGGGACCTTTGTGTGTGACTGACAAAGAACCTTTAGACTGTTTCTGGGTAAGGAGAGAGAGAGGAAACACCTGCCTGGTTCAACAATGGTTTTTCCTCAGACAGGAAGTTTTTTCCAAAGGCCACTGCAGGCCAGCTCTGAAAACTCTTTGTTTATAGCAGTGAAAATGTGTTCTAATTAGAGGCAGAATTTGGAATCATGCATAGCTTTACCCCTTCTGAAGAATCTCTAATTTGTTTTCAAAGTGTTCAGTCCTTTTAATTCTTTGAAAATACGTGCATTACTCTGTCAAATGCTTTAGGGCACAGAGGATACTATATCATTTGTGTACTATTACACTCTCCTCCAAATAAGAGGAAATCATTGAGAGAATAGTTGGTTCTTTTTCTTCTTCATGTGCTTCTGGTTTTATTGGTTAAGAATAATACAATTGGGAGGATGAGGTCAGAAACTATCTTCATCTGTGTATTCGGTTATTATAAAGGCTTTCTAAAGTACTGGTTTGATTTTTTTTAATGAAATTATTACTTTTTTTAGATTCACAAAATTGCACCCATTGCCATTGATTCTATTAGTGACCCTAAAGGACAGAACAAAGCTGCCCCCACGAAGCTTCCAAGGCTGTAAGTCTTTATGGAAGCAGACTCCCACATCTTTCTCCTGTGGAGCAGTTGGTGGATTTGAATTGATTAGTTTATGACTGCCAAGTGCTTAACCACTGTACTACAGGGCTCCAGGTTTATATTCAGAGGGTAAAAAATTCTAAGATAAAGGAAACAAATTCATTTCTCATTAACATATTTGTAGTTTGGATAAAGTGTTTAAAATGCTTGCAAAATTCCGTATATCTTGCACCAAGAATTCAGTGTTTGCTGAAGTATTATTGTTTGATTCAGTCATCTTTATTACTTACTGCCATTGTCTTCATCTGGGCTCCTGACTGGCCTTTGCATAATTCATTTGTAATCCATTTTCCTCTGAAATCACGTGGTGGTTTTCGTTTCTCTCTTAGGTAGTGGTTGACACGGCACAGATTGAAAATAAAGAAGCCTATGCTCCCCAAATCAGTTTAGAAGGCTCCAGAATCGTGGTTCAAGTCCCTTCTACTTGGTAATGTCTTAAACTCTGATGGATGTTTACATTTCTTTGGAGTGATTGCTTTGTTTTAAACCCTGTGCTAGCTGACATGACAGGTCTTGTTTGTGTAGGCTGAGGGGCAGTGGTGATGTATGTTATAATTATCAGATTATGACAAGAAAGCCAGGACATCTGAAAAAGTATTGACTATTCCAAGAGAGAAAGATGAGGCTGTTTACGCCCATAAAGACTTACAGCCAAGGACACCCTAAATAGAGTCACTATGAGTCAGAATCTACTTTAGAGCAATGGGCTTTTGGGTGGGACAGGGTAGCTAAAAAGTGTTCTATATACTTATATTAAAATGAGTACATTTGTTTTGTATTTTCTCTTTGCTAGTGAGTCCATAGCTTCTTAACAGTATATCTTTTTTTGACTTACCAAGTGCTTCTCTAGAGCTGAGTGCAGAACATCAAATTCCTTCTCTTTCTCTCTCTCTTTAAAACTTTTTGTGGTAAATTAAAGTGAGGGTCCTTCTCTTCTTTTGCCTTTCCCAACGATAGCCTGATGATACTGAACCCATGTTACTGTAAATTTCAGTCTGAGCAATATTCTTATTTAATTATTTATATAACTCTTCTAGTAGATGAATGATTTTTCTTAATTTATTTTTTAAATTCCTCCTTCCACCCTATGGGGGAAAAGCTACTACAAAAATAAGAAAGTGAGCATGGCACATGATCGGGTAAATCAGAAAAGAAGAAATAGGTCAATAAATACATGAAGAAAATGTTTAACTTTATTTAAGAATCAAAGGAAGGCAAAGTAAAGAAACATTTTGATGCCATTTTTCCCGGCACATTGTTAGATTGTTTTAGAATAATAATACTGGGTTTGAGCCAGAATGTATAAAAACAAGTACAGACCTTGTTAAATGGAGACTAAATTGCAGAAATCTCACTACCCCACCTCTTTACAAATGTGTATATAGATTTATCTATATGGATTTGAATCATAACTTTATTAGTAAATAGCAAAAGTTAAGCCTATAAAGGATCACAGTCTTGGGGCACATCTAGGTCATTTGGCATAACATAGCCCACAAAGACAATGTTCTGCATCTTAATTTGTTAAGTAATGACGGAGGTCTTGAAAGCTTGTGAGCAACCATCTAAGATGCAGTTATTGGTCTCTCCTTGTCTGGAGCAGAGAAAAGTGTCGAAAATCAGAGACTTGATTAACAGGACTAACATATCACATGAACCACAGCCTCCACTATCCTGAGACCCGAAAAATTAGATGGTGCCCAGCTACCACTCTGATCAAGACCATAGTAGATGGAACTAGACAGAGTGGGGGTAGCAGATATAAAGCAAAATTCAAAATTATAAAAAAGACCAGACTTACTGGTCTAATATAGACTGATGCTCTCTCTTGCCCCCAGACTAAGGCTTTTAGACATCCTTCAAACCTGGTATTGAACCCACCCCCCAGGAATCACCTTTCTGCCAAATAATAGACAAGCAGACCATTAACATCTCTGAGAAACTCAGATCAGTCAAGCATTTGCCCAGAAACGAAGCTTAGAAAGCAGAAGGGGCAAGGTAGAAGAATGAATGGAAATGGGGAGCTCAGTGAAAGAGTCCTGTTACATGGAGGGGATTGCAACTAGTATTACACAACAAAAGGAGTATAAATTATTGAATAGGAAACTGATTTGCCCTGTAAACTTTCACCCAAGCCACCTTTAACAAGGAAAATTAAGCCCATATTGGAAGAAATATTGCTATTAAAATTATAAGGTGGAAAAAAAATCATAAGGCGGGTGAATATTTGTGTAGAAAATATTTAATCCATTTAGGTAGGAAGAGCTAATACTAAGCTGGCTTGTGTGAACTAAAATGGTAGCAAGATATATGAGTTGCACAAGAAGACTTCAAAAAATTGGGGGGAAATTTTTCCTCAAAATATTTTGAAGTAGCCTTGTTTTTAAGCCATTGCTCCTCTCTGAAATGTAAGGAAACAATAGATTCTGCTGCTAAAAGTACTCAGAACTTCCTGATATATCAAATAAGAGTTAGCAGTTCATTTTCTATCTCAAAACTTCCCTTGTCCGAGTCTACCTGCCCCTCCCTAAAATGTAGACTTAATGCTGAAGATAGATTACTAGTATTTCCTAAAATTGATGTTAATTTATATGCACATCTATCTTTACAAATTAAAAGCTTACTTTTCTGTAAGATTTTTTTCCTCCTAAATTCTTAATATGATCTTGCAACATATTGAAAAATATTAAACTAACTAGAATCCTCACTTTGAATATAACACTGAACTTTTGCATAACCCAGACCCACTGCAGTCAATTCCAAATGTATAGTGATTCCATTAAGGCAGGGTAGAACTGCATCATAGGGTTTCCCAAGCGATACATTATTATTAATGTATTTCTCCTGCAGAGCAACTAGTGGGCTTTCAGTTAGTTGCCCACTGCACCACCAGGGCATCTGGACTTTGGGCTAGCATATGTTGACCATTATCAACATATTTGAACACCACCTTACTTGAAACTCCCCGCATACAATTGATCTTTTTAACCAATTCTTCAAACACTCCCTCTGCTGGCTGCTTTTGGTAAAAATGCAAAGTTTTAAGGCGTTTTGTTTTATCTCTTTCAAATCACAAAATACATTTATTGAATAAAACTCAAACCGATGTGATCGGCTTGACTTCAGAAGAATGAAATTCTTAGCAAAGTGAGTACAGACTGTATCATGCTTTTCTTTTATTAAAGTGAAATGTCCTACACCAGATAGTTTTTTTTATTATTATTATTGGTATTTTAAACTGCCAGGTTTAAATCACCCACCTGTTCTCCCCGTTAACAAATACTTACTGAGGACTGCTCTCTGCCAGATGCTCTTGTAAGCCCTGGAAAATTAAATGTGGATAAGATAGGCAATTATCCAGTTTCTCAAAGCGTTGGGTTTGTGATGGAGGAGGGGAGGAGACAGCTGATAAACATGAGATAAATTCAAACACTGACTCGTGCAAGGAAGTAGGAGTTGCAGTAATGTCATCTATTAGAAGGGTGGAGATGGAAAGAACCTATTTTACATGAGGAGGCCAGTCAAGAAGGGTGACTTTAAGGCTGTAACACTGGATTTTAGAAGAGCCAGAGATGCAGAGAATAATAGATGGGGAAAGCATCTGGGTAAGGGAGCAGCAAAGGCAGAAGTCAGCAGGGTAAGCCAGAATGACCATAATGTGATCCAAGGGGCTAAAGAGGAAAAATCACAGACACTAGAACTCATGGGCCTTTAAGAGAGTTGGGTGTTAATTCAAAAGCTGGTGGAGTGTTTCAAGTAACTCTTGGTCTTGAATACATTTAGTGAAAGCCATTTGTCATTTGTTAATTAGCCCACAACGCTATCTAATGGAAAGAAAGAAAAAAGCCAATTTAGTGATTTGTATCACCAGGCCCTGTGGCATTCCTTTATGCATGACCAGTAAATACATTTCTAGTGAGAAGATGTTAAGGGGCAAGCAAAATCACAACCCAAAGTCTGTTTGGAGCATGGAGTTGGAGCAAGTAGAGGGCTTATGACATGGTAATCAGGGACTCCAGGCTGAGAGAGACGGGTGCACACTCTGAAGTAGTTTGGCCAATGGATCCAAAACAATGCCAAGTTCAGTGGCTAAACCCTGCTTCTAGGAGGTTGGGGTCTGATGGAGCATTGAACTTGCCTTGTTGTTCGTCTTGGTCTGAGACCCCAGGGCCTGCCAGTTCCCATCCATACAGGTTGGTATCTTCTCAGTTAAAATCAAGTGAAAGAGCTCTGCAGCTTTGTCAGGGATGGTGGTTTTGTTCATGTTGATTCCATCCTTCAACTCCCACAAAACCCAAGAACTAACAGATGGTGGTAACTAGGACGATTCTAGCTCTCACAAAGTCTCTTGGTGGAGCTGCCCTTTGAGGGAGACCTGAACAAGTGAGGAGCAGCTGGCCATCACAAGATTTTAGGGAAGAGCATTGCAGGCTTGGTGGTGGGAAGGTGGCGGGCAGCAAGACAAAGGTCCTGAACTGGGTTCAGACACAACATGTTCAGAGAAAGGGAGAAGACTTCATGTCTAGGGCAAGCTGAGGGGAGGTGTGGCCTGAGAGCCAGGAAGGGCCAGGTCTCCAAGGATCTCGACGGCTATGGAGAGCAGTTTATTTAGATTTTATTTCAAGCACGATGGGATGTCATTGGAGAATTTTCATCAGAGGAGTGATGGAATCTGATTTGTATTATCAAAAACTCACTTGGCTGCTGTGTAGAAAAGAGGCTGGGCAAGAGAAAGGGGTCACTTAGGAGATTGGTGGTGATTTTCTAGACTTGGGTGTGAGAAGAAAGATGTTTAAAAAGTGCTTGGATTCAGAGTATGTGTTAGAAAGAGGGTGTCAGGATGTGCTGATGGGTTGGATGTAAAGGAACTAGAAAATTGGGATGATTTGCCTAAGTTTGAGGGTAGGCTTTGAACAGTGAATTGAACCTATTGTGGTATTGTGTATTGATTAGGAAAGTCTATAGCAGTCAGAGTGATTTGGGACAGGCATGAGAGGGATCAAGAGTTGTGTTGATCACTAGTCTTCCAGATTGAAGAGTGATGTTCTCTTCTTGAAGGGACCTTCCCGAATGGGAAAGTTATTCCTCTGAGTTCATTCTAATCCTGACGCAGAATTTCAGTGCTGGCCAGCCTTAAAATATGTTGGTTTGGTTATAATCTCCAAACTGAAGGTAGTCCATTGGATGTGCAAAGAAAGACATCAAGCATTGCATTAACATACAAGACTGAACCTAAGGAGAAAAGTCTAGGATGGCAAATGAAATCCGAGAGTTTCCAGTATAAGGATGGTCTACAAAGCCCCAGGACTAGGTGCAGTACACCATGACAGAGGCCTCTATTACCGCAACACACACAGGCAGGGGACACCAAGAAGGAACTGCTGCTAGTGGCACTGTCAGGTAAGCGCTGTAGTGCTAACTGCAAGGTTGTCATTTCAAACCCACCAGCCACTGTGCAGAAAAAAAATGAGGCTATTCCCTCCCATAAAGATTTCCAGCCTTGGAAACCTTCGATGTAGGATCACTGTGAGTTTGGTTTTGGCTTTAGGAGTTGTGGGAAGAGGAGAACAGGAAATGAAGAAGAGGAAACAATGTGAGTAGAGAAATAAGCAGTATCTGGAGGGAAAATGTAGGACCAAGAGAGATGTCGATGAGGCTGGTTTGTTCACCTTACAGAATATCCCCAAGAAGAAAAGGTGGAGTGATTACCCGAGTTAAGACTATTGGCACATGGCGTCCAGTGCTCAAGTAAGGGTCAGGGCAGCTTTTCCCTTGGGATAGAAGGGGAAGGCAGGGTGTGTGGACAGAGGCCCAAGTAAACTGGGGGAATCGCCTGTTTGATGATAAGAGCTGAGGTAGGTAGGAAAGCATGGCAGTGGGATATCACAAGGATCTTGGAGCTAAGAAGAAAGAGAAAGGAGTGAATTCGTTATCTTCCAAAGTGAGAAATTGGCTTAGGGGAAGGCAAAAAAATTAAAATGTTGTTGCTTACCTGAAATGTGTGTTGTTTTCCCTCTGCTCATTCACAGTTTCTTTGGTACAGGTGTGAAGACAGGTAGAGGATGGGAGAGGCAAGAACATTATGGGAAAGTATTAACAAGGGAGTAGATGTTGTGCCAGAGTACAGGATCTCGGCTGAAGTTCTAAGATATCAAGCTCGAGTGGATGTTGTTAGACGGTGAGAGAGCATTAACGGCACTGTAGATAGTTAAAGCAAGCCCGAGTGACGTCGTGGTTATGCATGAGCTGCTGTCCACAAGATCTGCAATTTCGAAACCACCAAGCACTGCGCCAGGAGAAGGATGACACTTTCTAGTCCCCTAAAGAGTTAAAGGTCTCAGAGATCCAGAGGGGCAGTTCCACCCTGTCCTATATGAGTCAGAATTGACTCAATGGCTGTGAGTGAGTTGACAGAGTTAAAATTCCAGAGAGACTCCAGACTCTACTCTTTTCCTGGCTTTCCTTTTCTCAGTCAGTCATTTGTGGAACATCAAGTTCCAGTGTGTGAGCTCTATCATTTTGTAAATGTTCTTAGAAGTATTAGCTTTTGGGAGAAGGCCTGCGGTATAGACTTCATGAGGCCTGCGTGAAACACCTTTACAGAGAATTGAAAATAGGGACTATATATACGACCTTCCTGTTTGTGCCTAGGTGCCTGAAAGAAGACCCTGCTACCATGTCTTTGCTGCAGAGAAGCCTTGATCCTGAGAAGACCCTGGGCCTGGTGGACGTCCTCTACACGGCCGTGCTGGACCTAAACCGCTGGAGGGCTGGGAGGTTGGTGTTCACACACCAGCCACTTGGATTAGCATTGCCTGTAGCTCACATTCAGCTCCACCCCTTACACAATCCCATGTGTCTTCCTGTTACTGATAGTGCATGGATAAGTAAAATCAAGAAAAAGAACTTTTTGTAAACAAAAAACCCCTGATTATTTCCAAATAAATAATATTTATAATAAATATTAATATAATACTATTAGTAATAAAATTATCCCCAATATTATTTACTTGGGGATAATAATACAGCTTTTAAAAGTTGCAGGAACATTACAAAATTGCTGCATGCACTATACCCATACTCACTTATTTGTTAACATTTTTGTCTCTTTTTGATCATTTGAGAGTAGGCTGATACCCATTTATTCATCAAAAGGACTTTAAACCCAACTCACACTCCCCTTAGTACACAACTGTTTACAGGATTTATTTTTATCTTGCATGGCATATACTTAGATATGAAGTTGTTGACAAGCACAAGATTGCCACAACTTTAGAACTGGTAGGCACTTTAAACATCTGGCCTGGCCCCTCCCTCTTCCTTCACTCTGTAGGTGAACTGATTTATCCAGTGCCAACCGTCTATCACTTGGCTTAGTTCCTACCTTATGCCTTTTGACCTGTCTTGGAGCGCTCTTTCAATATCAGACAAATGCGCTCAGAAAACCTTGGGACCTTCTGTAAAGTACTTCGAGGGACGATGGTCCCTGATTCCTCCTCCGACCACCTCTCTCTACTCTGTGAATTTGGCCCTTGTCCCTCTACTGACTTTGCCTGTCTCACGGACCCCATCCTTCAGCCGCTGAGCTGACTTGGAGTTTTGGGTTTAATTCAACTCTTCAGGCCAGAATAATCATGTAATTTTCACCACCCTGTGTTACCCTGTACACCTAATTTAAAAAGAGATGAAATGTTTCAATTATGTACACTTAAAAACCCTTGGGTGTTCACGTGCAAAACAAGAAAAGTTGCCAGAAAGCTCTTTCTTAGGTTTCAGTTCCTTACTTTATTAAAGCAGAAAGGTCTATTTCACTGTGCAAATTTTTTTAATTTATTACCATCTTTTTTTCTCTCTCTCAAATATATGTAAAAGGGAACAAGGTTTACCATCTATTCAGATCCAGCTGCAAAGAGAGATCTGTGACTTTGCAAATCAGGCTGACCTACCTTCTGGGAATGGAAACAAATCTTCAGGCCTCCAGAAAACGTTCGCCAAACTGACGTCCCGGTTCACCAAGAAAGCTTCGTGCACTAGCTCGAGCAGCAACGCAAATTATTCCGTCCCAAATACCCCTTCCAAAAATCTCTTCATAGCTGGGTGTTCAGAAGAGAAGGCCAAAATGTCCAGTAATATGGATATGAGGCTACAAAGCATTTTGAACATTGGTAACTTCCCCAGAACTACTGATCTTTCCCAGTCAGCTCAGAGTCCTGGTAACCAGTTGGCCAACGGCTGCCTCTTGGAGAGGCAGGAGAACTTTCTGCATGGGGAGGATGGCAAGGACGAGAAGGGTATGAACTTACCCACCGATCAGGAAATGCAGGAGGTGATCGATTTCCTCTCGGGCTTTAACATGGGCCAGTCCCACCAGGGCTCCCCATTGACCACACGGCATAACTCTGCTGCCACAGCTCTGCTAACTGAACGGAAGGCAGGTGCCGTGCCGCCACAACAGCCGCCACTGCCAGCACCCCCTCCGCGGCCCCCACAGGCTGGGGCACACACGCCTTTGACATCCCAGCTGGGGCTGGCACCTCAGCAGCAGACCCCAAAGCAGCAGCAACTGCAGGTTCAATACTACCAACACCTGCTCCAACCCATTGGCCCTCAGCAGCCCCCACCCCAGTCTCGGGCACCTGGGAAATGGGTACAAAGCTCATCCCAGCAGCCAGCACAGCCTATTGGAACGGGTCTGCCTCCTCTTGGCCAATGGCCTGGCATATCTGATCTCAGTTCTGACTTATACAGCTTGGGTTTGGTGAGCAGCTATATGGATAATGTGATGTCTGAGGTGTTGGGGCAGAAACCACAAGGACCTAGAAATAACACATGGCCAAACCGTGACCAAAGCGATGGAGTCTTTGGAATGTTGGGAGAGATTCTGCCTTTTGATCCTGCAGGTACGTGTGGCACTCCTGGGGTTTCAGCATAAAACGTAATCACCGAGGGCCCCTTCTCTCAGTCTGGGGGCCAGTGCCGGGCAGGTTTAGCCAAAGTGGGAAACAGTGGTGAGAGTGATGAGAAGGTAAGCAGAACAATTTTTCTCCTTTCATAAAAGACTGAATGGAGGTTTAGAGTCAGTACTTGAGTTGCTCAAAGTTTCATAGTTCAAGTGGGCTCCAGTCTGGTATCTCATTGCTGGAGCCAAGGCAGCAGCTAATCCTATGCACTGTGAAAAATAGTAGAGCAAGTTTCTGCCTTCATGGAATACAGCTGCGCGCGCGCGCGCACACACACACACACACACACACACACACACCAGACTCATCTTAAGAAATCAGAAAAAACACCACAAAACAGAAAATAACTAGGAAGAGGGAATTAAGGATTTAAAGTCACCAGTTGCTATCAAGTTGACTCCAAACCCTCCTGACCCTTATGGGTCAGTGATTGGTTCAACAGAAGGAGGTCACCAGGCCATTTTTCCAAGGCACCCTTGAATGTGTTTACACCACCAGCCTTTCAGTTAGCGACTAAGCCTTTTTACTTTTGTACCACGTACGCCAAACCAAACTTAGTCTCTGGCCAGTCAGTTCTGACTCCTAATGTCCGTGTGTGCAGAGTGGAACTGCACTCCATAGGGGTTTTAAAGCTGAGACTGTTCCGAACCAGATCTTGAGGCCTATTTTTGAGGTGCCAGCTACATCAATAAGTACTCAAGTGCTGTTTATTCCACCTAGAGACTCCCACTGAAGGGTAAAAGCCAAAACCCATTGAAGTTAAGAGTTTGCAAACCCCAAAGTAGATCCTTGGAAGACCATTTCAACAATCAAAGGGGAAGTCAGGAAAACAATAGGATGGGAAGTCCCCTTAGATTTTCATTTATCTGGAGCGTTGTTTCCCTGAGTGAGCAATACTGCCCCCTGGGGACACAGAATAATTATGGGCTATAGTACAAATATTGTTAATTGCAAAGTTTTGTTTTTTTGCAAAGTAAAGTTTATAATTACTGAGTAATTTTTTACTTTTCTGAAAAGGGTTGGGGAGGGGAGTGTAAACCAATTAAGTTTGGAAACCTATTGTTAGAGAAGCGTATAGACTATAGGTTCCCAAACATATTCAGCCTACTACCCCCTTTTCAGGTGGGGGGAAAAAATTATTCGGCACCCTCCTGGCAATTAAAATCAGGGCTAATCCAGGTTAGTTAAAGTACATGGATCTGCTTTTGCAGTCCCCCTGTATCATTCTGTTGTCCCCCAGGGGGCAGCATTGCCCACTTACAGCAACATTGAACTCTTGTAAATAAATAGAAGCATTGCCACAAGAAGAGAAGATTCTTCACTAAAATGCCCCAGAATTAACAACCACAGAAATGGAACACAGTCTTATGTCTGCCCAAAATCCCTCGTGTTGCTAGCCTGATCTTGGTCTCCCTGGGTAGGTGGATCCAGGGAGCCTTGTGTACCCGGGAGCCTTGGGACATAGGAAGGGTATGCAGCTCTTTCAGAGCAAGCCCACTAGCTGCTACCAGTGGATGCACAGTTCATGTTTTCTTAATTGGTGATACATAGCATGTACATTTGTTGACTAAGTCCAGGATTTGAGCAGGATTTTACCTTCTATTCAGTCCGACAACCTTTACCCACTTAGTCTATGAATCCCACTAACTCTTCCTTTTGGATGTACCTTGACATAAGTTGTACAAGTCCCTCGTATAGCTTCCCACAGCCTCTGCTGCAAGGGTATGAGGTCTGTCTAGCCCTTTGTTCAAATTAAAGAAGGGCATGCCTCTGGGCTGATGGATTAAAGAAGATAGAAACCTCCCTATGGGTGGTGGACCAGTATAGTGCCTAATCTGGACAGGCCAGCACAGCTCTGAGGGACGTGGTGTGACTAAGTCAGGTGGTGGCTTGCTTTCAGCCCCTGTTCTCCCCTCCTCTGGGCAACCTCCTGCAGTGGTCCCGTGGCAGGCCATGAGGACAGGCATGAGAGTTGGGATCAGGGGAGTGTGTGCTAGCATCTTTCCAAACATGAAGCTAAGAACTGTATATCACTGAGTTCTATTAGTGCAGTACCCACATATTTTCCTACCACATCTTGGTGTTTGACTCTTCTTCAAATGTCAGCAGTACTGTTTCTCTCACGTGTTTGCCCTGTACCTCCTTACTCAGCTGTCTAGTGGGTTTGCAATCCCCCTTTCATACATTTTAAAATTCCATTTTGTTTTTGCCCCTCTTACTGCCAACAGTGAATGAGCAGGTCTGCTACCCAGTATGCTGGAGAATAGAATGGAATATGATCCCCTATCTGGCTTTGATGCTCTGATAGCCACTTGTAAGTTATCAGTCAGTCAAAGTCATTTTCTAACTTTCTGATTTCTTAGGTTATGACTCAAAGCATATAGACTGCTTTTCCCCTCACATTCAGCCTTTTTCTGTCCTCACGTAGGCTTGCTGCACATACCACACCCCAAACTCAGAGCAGTATGTGCATGCTATAGCTAAAGCAGGGGGCTGGTTATATCTAGAATGGTGTGTGAGACACATTTCAGAGGGGAGAGAATGGACCAAGAGGCCAATTTGACCCCAGACCTGCTTGTCCCTTTGTTTCAACACAGTGGGCTCAGACCCAGAGTTTGCTCGCTACGTGGCAGGAGTCAGCCAGGCAATGCAGCAGAAGCGACAGGCCCAGCACGGTCGCCGCTCAGGCCACCCCCGGGGCCACTGGCCACCCATGGAGGATGGCCACCAAACCTGGCCTTTACCAGAGTTCTTCACAGAAGGGTGAGTGCTGGGTATGGCAGGGGAGCCGAGTCTGGGCACCAGTATCCTTCCAAGGGCCTGTGAAGAGGAAGCTCCTTGGCCTGTGTGTTCTCATCAGGCACAATTGTGTTACAAACCCCCATGAGTGTGCCACCAAGGACACTTCAGCACATCAGAGTTCTGCGACAGACAGTCCACGGGTTGCCAGCTGAAGCAAGATGAACCCCAGTGAACACACCATCAAGGGGAACTCAGGATTTGCAAGACTTATCAGCCCAAGATGAGGATCTTATTGATGGTGTGAAGTAACTGTGGGTTTAGTATGGTGCTTATATTGTATAAGCACCATACTATGGTGCTTATATTGTATAAGCACTGAATGTAGCTGTGAAACCCACATAGTTTCTAGAATTCTATCATTTGGGTCTGAGGAGCCCTAGTGGCCCTGTGAGCTAGGCAGTTGGCTGCTAACTGGAAAGTTGGCAGTTTAAACCCACCAGCCACTCTGAGGGTGAAAGATGAGGCTAGCTGCTCCCTTAAAGATTTTAGTTTTAAGTGGAGAACAAATGTTTTGAGAATGATGAGGGCAATGAATGTACAAATTTGCTTGACACAATTGATTTATGTATGGATTGTGATAAGAGTTGTATGAGCCCCCAATAAAATGATATATATATATTAGTCTTGGAAGCCCTATGTAGGGTTGCTATCAGAATTGACTCAGTGGCACTGGGTTTGGTGGGCTTTGTTTTTTAGTTATCATTTGTGCCTACACAAAGCAGCAGTTCAGGCTCCATTTTATTGAGAAAATTGTGTATTGGTATAAAAAAGACAACAGGGATTGAATTCCACATTCCTTATTATCATCTGGGCAGTAAACCTGGACAGCTAAACACCAGCTCAACTTTTTGTTTTGCTGAAGTCACTTCTGTATACCAATGATACATTCCTGAGTGGAGTATATGTTCCTTTTATAATAAGGGAATGGTGGAAATAGTGTTTTTAGAATATTTTGAGACCCGTAAACCAAAAACAACAGCAAAGCAAGCTCGTTGCCATCAATTTTGACTCATCAACCACGTCCTCTGACAGAGTAGACGTGCCCCAGAGGGTTTCCAGAGTCCCCTGCAGAGAAGCACAGTGCCACGTCTTTCTCCCACGGAGCAGCTGGCGAATTCAAACCAACAAACCTTTTCACTTAGTGGCCCAGGGCTCCTTCGATGAGATACTAGAGACCACAATTTGGTTATGAAGTAAGTGCAGGGTACAAGTGGCTTTCAGGGCTTGGAGCGGCTCACCTTGAAGCGGCTGAGCCGTGTCCAGGCTGGCGAATAGGAGGCATGGAAGCAGCTTCTGTTTTTGGTTTTTAGGGATGGTCTACCCACCAGCTGGTTGGGCGCTCAGGGAGACTCAGCCAGCTCGAGTGATGAGACGTCCTCTGCCAACGGAGACAGCTTGTTCTCCATGTTTTCAGGACCTGACCTCGTGGCTGCTGTCAAGCAGAGAAGGTATGGGTGATTTCTAACCAAAAAGAAGGGAGAAGAGCATATGGACTTGTCCCACTCTTTATTTCCCTAGGAGAGTCAGGAGCCCATCTCTCCCATCCTGTTTGTGTGGGAATGGCAGGGGGCAAAGGTGGGGCCTAGTTCCAGTGATGTGTGGTTGACGGCCTTTCCATGTGTTTTCCATAACAGACAGTTGGCTTTATCCTGCTGAGACCTCAGGGAGGTCAAGTGAATTGTGTTGAGTTGAATTTTCCCTGAGATAAAAGTCTCACGAAGTGATCTCTAAGTCAGACAGGGATGCTGGTCTCTGCCTTACAGAGGAAGCAGTCCTTGGCTTAGGGCAGGAGCGGGAATGGGGGCGAGGTAAGATAAGGGGGGCCTGGGCAGCCAGGTTCTAATCAGGACTCACCAGCAAGCTATCCAGTGCCTGACTTCTGACTCTCAATGGCTTTGTCTTTCAAAGGTGGGACTAGATGCAATAAGCATTATTTCAGAATTGAAAAAATAGTACATGCAGATTAAAAAGTTTTCCAAAGTACTGTATGTTCATAAGTAATGCATCCCATTCACATAACATGCATAGGAAACTGTTGTGGGAGGGGATTGCACAATTTAGCATCAAAAAAAGTAGAATGGAATTGTTATTTGTATAAAAATATGGCCACCACAAAAATAAAAATGGGGCCTAAAATAACAGAAGAACTTGGATAGCTGGAGCGAGGAGAGAGTTGTGGGTAATGAGGAAGCCCAGGGCCAGAAAGTTTTATATTATGTAGTGTCACACAAGGGCCACCTAACCTGCACCTGTGATTCTTGTCCTCTTATGACAGGGCTGGTATGGATGCCTCAGGGCGCAACCGCTTCATGATGGTGATTGAGACGCACAGCGATCTCCTGTGGGTTTCTGAGACGAGCTGTTTATGGGAGTAAAAATCCTGGTCTTTCTCCCTTGGAGCTGCTGGTAGTTGCCAACTGCTGACCATGCAGATCGTAGCCCGGCCCAGAACCACTACCCCACTAGGGCTCCTGCTCCATAATATAGGATACTATTTTTATTCTGTTTCTTATCAAGGAGTCTAAGCCTCTGAGACGTTAAATTTGTTCATTTATTCATTCATTCAATGGCAGGCACCCATCATGTGCTGGGCACTGGTAATAAGACTGTGACCAAAACCGACTCTCCTCCTTCAGAAAACCAACAGTCTAGCCAGGAATGACAGAGAAAGATGCCATATTGGGCTCAGGACTGTGAAGAAAACTAAGTCAGTGCAGGGAAAGGCAGTCTCTGTTTTCAGGAGGATAGTTGGGGAAGGCTTCTGAGGAGCCGAGAAGTGAACAGGGTGTGGGAGTGAGTAGTGCCTGGCTGTGGGATTTGGTGAGAGAGAAGACTCGAGGGTGTGCAAGTTTTTGGTCTGAGTATGAAAAGGGGGTCTGGGAACTGAGAGTGTCCTGCAGGGGTGCAGGGGTGAGCCAGGCTGAGGAGTCAGACTTTCTGCTCTGGACATGCTGAACTTGAGGGGCCGAGCAGACACCCAGGAAGACTAGTTGATTACCTCCAGCACGGCTGTCAGCACTGGGTGTCACCTGGCTGCAATTTACTGCACCCTGCTGTTGTTAGTCAACATTTTCTAGCTGATAACTAAAGGACTGTTTTGGGTTTTTTTCCTTTTACAGTAATCTTTTATTATTAATAAAGATCATTTTATTGGGGGCTCTTACAACTCTTATTACAATCCATACATCAGTTGTATCAGGCATATTTGTACATTTGTTGCCATCGTTCTTTTCTAGACATTTACTTTCTGTTGAGCCCTTGGTCTCAGCTCCTCTTTTTTTACCACCACCCCCACCTTCGTGATCCTTTGATTGATTATAAATTACTCTTATTTTCAGACTGTTGTTTTTAAGTCACCTGTCTCCTGTGTGTGGTAAACATTTATGTAACTGCCTGCCTGTGCCCCCTGCCCTCACCCATGAAACTTTATAAAGTATACACCTTGCAAGGGCTGCCCTCCCCCTGCTTCACCCCCGAATGCCGTGGACCCAGGACCTCCTCTTCTAGAACAGGTGCCTGGAGACACTGGGGCCAAGGGACTCAGTGTCCCCTAGAGATAGGGCGGGCAGGAAACCCGGGGTGGTCACTGCCCTGAGCTCTTGGCTCTTTCAGGAAACACAGCAGTGGGGAACAGGAGACCACCACGTTGCCGTCACCACCTTTGCTTACTACCATGGAGGATGTGAACCAGGTATTGTGGGCCCTTCTCTGCCCAAAAGGGGCTGGCTCAGACCAAGAACAGGTTTCCACAGCTTCGGTTTTTATGTAGGCCTCAATAAGGAGTGGTTCTAATCAGTTTGTAATAAATAACTTTTTTTTTCTTATGCCAATTTTCCCCCAAGGTTTTGTCTAAAGGATTTGCCATCTCAGTTTACTCAAAGTCATGTGCAAAGGAATCTTCATGACTGTGCTGTCCAGTGTGATAGCCACTAACCACATAGCTGTCCATTTACATTTCAGTAAAATTCTCTCTCGCTGCCATCGGGAGTCAAAACTGACTCAAAAGGACCCTATAGGACAGGGCAGAACTGCCCCTGTAGTTTCAAAGACTGTAACTCTTTATGGGAATAGAAAGTCTTATCTTTCTCTGGTCATTAAAATTAGTGTTAATTTAAAAAGTCCCTTCTTCGGGTATATTATCTACCTGTGCCAGGTGACTAACATACTGCACAGGACAGATAAAGTCCTATTTCTTTCATTGAACAAAGTTCTGTTAGTGCTGCTCCAGGCCTATGGGGGGCAGACTCCGTGATCTAGGGAGATGGGAAAGGGGCTCAGAAAAGCCACTGAAAATCTTCTTCTTTCCCCCAGGATAACAAAACCAAAACGTGGCCACCCAAAGCACCCTGGCAACACTCGTCCCCACTGGCCAGCACACTGCCCAGTCCAAGCACACCTCTCTACACAGTGGCCAGCCCCAGCAGCCAGTGGAATGACACCATGCAGATGCTGCAGTCTCCAGTGTGGGCTGCAACCAACGACTGCGGCGCCGCCTCCTTTCCCTATGTGCAACCCCCACCACAGCCCCCACCCCCACCAGCACACAAGGCAGCACCCAAGGGCTTTAAGGCCTTCCCCGGGAAGGCTGATCGCAGGCCAACCTATTTGCCCCACTATTGACCCAGCCTGTCCACCTGCCCAGAGCTGTTGGGACCAGTGCTCCTGTCCCAGGACTGGCTTGCTGACAGCACCTCCCCAGATACTAGTGCACCTCTGTCCCAGTAGGGATCCTTGGGGACTGAGGTGGTTGGCACCTTCAAGTCTTTCAAATCCCGGCTTCTCAAATTCTGGAGGCATCAGACCCTGGAGAGCCAGCTGCAGATGGAGCTGTCGGCCCCCTAGGGGATGCTCGGAAATCTGTGGGCTTCCTGAGCATCGCAGGCAGTTAAGGCTACTGAAGATACCTGTTGAGAAACACAGCTTTCGAGTTTTCCATGCCACTGTATGTGCAGGGTGGCTTTGGGCCAGAAAGGAGACATGACCATTCTTCCAAAACTCCCTCTTTGACTTGCTGAATGGCCACAGCCCCATCACTGGACTTGATAGCGCTTTTTTACAGGTTAAGATATCTCCTGCCTAAAACACACCGAACATTTGAAGAGAACAAATGTTATGGCTAGAGGTTTATTGAACACTATCTTTAGTCAAGCTTAGACAGAATGGGCAAGTGATAAAATATGGGTGGTCAGAAGCACACGTTTTCTGTAAGGGGCCGCCAGGAGATGCAGTCTTTACCAGATTGACAAAAGCCAGATGGGATCCCTGACGTTGGAGGCACAGTTCTGACAGCACTTGGAGCTGAGCCTGTCTGCTGCCAGATGCACCTCCAGATGTCCCGAGGCTGAGACATAGCCCTCAGAGCGGGGCGGGCGACCTGGGGCTGCACCATGACACCTGCACTTGAAATAACAGTCCCATTTTTTAACTGGTTCAGAGGGCAAACCAATTTCATATGTAGATAGGAAATAATTTAAAGTCTTTTCCTTCAAAACAAACAACCAACCTCATTTTCAGTTAACACGTGCCATTAAATAGTTAATTAACATCCTGTGGATTTGGGGATATTTTACAGCCAGAATGGATCCAGAAGAATTGAATGGTGCTTAAATTGAGAAATAAATACATAGACTAGACATATCCCACTGTATAGTAATTGAAGTTACAGAAAGTTCTTTATATAAAACTTATTTAAATTTTTCATATTTCATCTTTGAAAAAAGTCTAGAAAAATCCATAATATTTTCTGGTATGAAAGTTTGACAGTATTAATATTTTTTATATTTTCTTAAATCATTAAGCCATTTTAATATATGTTAACTACTAATAAATGGTTTATTCTTTCTAACTCCATATAAGCCTTTCCAGAAAAAATTGTAAAAGACACATTTATGTTCTCATTTTTCTACAAATATAAGTAAATTTATATTTTAAAATACCAAAAATTATCTATATATGCACGTGTGTGTGTATTCACACACACACATCGCAAACACACATACATACACACAGATTATAGAGGACCCTTAGGATGTCTGAGCCCAGCCACCTGAATGTTTAGTCACAAGTTGCCAGGCTGTTCCCAGGCCTCAGGCGTTGTCTTTTGTGCTTTGTGGCGACTCCATTGCTGCCTGACCTTATACTGTCAGCGTAGGTTCTGAACACTCACCTCACCATGTTTACAGAGAACTCTTTTGTACATAGACTCTTTTCAGGCACAGCTTTGCACCAACCCTGCGTGGTTCATGTGTTAGCTCTCACCGTGTGCACACTTCGCCCTCTGTTGAAGTTGTTTGTGGCGATTTTACTTGTAAGATAGTTTTCTACTTCCATCGGTAACGTGTCCACAGTCCCCTGTATTTCAAGTTCTATTATTCTGAAGTACTTCTGTTGTACTAGTGCCTCCGCAAAGACCTCCCTCGGGACTGAGGTCAGTCCTTGATTCCCCAGCATAGGTGACAACCCTCTCTTTCCAGTTTTCCTCATATCAAGACAGAGATTTTGTAATTGCATCTCCATGGGCTGTGAGACCATGTGAAGCTGTTTATGTGGTCTCCATGTTGGTGCTGTGTTCTCGGCACCACCTTGCTCTGAACACTGGTAATTCCAGGTGCTGCGCTCGGCGGAGGGGTCTTGCCATAGCGTATATGTATGTGTATTCGAGTGTTGTGTGTCCTTGGCATGGCCCGGCATGGGTGCCTTGCTTGGGCATCAACAGGACACCGTGTGGATAGTTAACCGCTTCCAAACTGGAACTCTACATTTTGTATCTTACTTTTAAAGCTCCTATAGTAAAATAACTATTGGATTTATTAAAAATATACATTTAATTATACTTTGTATCTTCATTTACTATGAAACCTGACAAACACCACCTCAGGAATCTCGCCTTGTTCATTACTTTGAAAAGTCTGGTCCTAAGTTGTTAAGCCTTCCTGTCCTTTGAATGAGGGCTGGCCAGGAAAGACCACATGGAGCGTTAGGATGAGCCAGGCTGGCTGGACAGGAGGCAGAAGCACCTACCACACCCTTCCCATTGACTTCCTGAAGGCCACCTCTGGGCCGGAGGAGTTAGTGTGGTGATGGAGTTTTATCTCCTGAAAGCTGCCTCCCTGGGTTGTGAGCTATCTAGGGTTGAGGACTCAGTCCAGTGCCTCCTTCCACCAAGGACCCAGTCGGGTGGGAGAGAGCCTGCCTCCCAGGGATGTGATGGGTCTGCCTCATTGGACAATGTCATCCTGCTAAGCAGAAGGAAAGACTATACTGGGAACCAACCACAAAGAGAGTGGACTCCAAGGGGGGCTTCAGCTCATTAAGGAACGAGCACGTCATTGAAACTTTTTAAACCTTTTCATGAATGTAGGAAACAAAGATTAGTGTATGGCTTGTCAGTGTAAGTACCCAGAAATTAAGCATAGGCACCACGGCCCAGAGCCTTGCAGGTAGGTGTACCTCAGGGTAAAGTTGCTAAGTAACAGCAGCCATGAGCTGGAGGAATAAAGTGAAAGGTCATATAAAAATTCTAATAGGGCATGCATATACTTGTTTGCGTTCATATTTACTATCAGCACCCAGTGCTTCACTGCTGATAGTGTTGAAGGCATGAGTCCTCGTTCCAGCTGGGTGACCCAGGGGCAGAGATGGAAGTAGATGTAAGATGTTACAACTGAGGCCCAAGAAGATCATCACAGACCTCGGCCTGGGGACCACTCAGCGAAAAACTGAGGACACAGAGCTAAGTGACAGCCTTTTGAGGTCTGTGACCCTCTTTCCCACCTGGGGGCTTCTTGGAAATCAAATCGCCAAGTTCCAGTGTTTTACCTGGAAGGGGGCATATTCCAGCCATGGCTCTCTTGGGGGCCACTTTCAGGCCCTGCCTCCTGATCTGGAGATGGGGGAAGTAAACCTTACCAATGTTTCTTGATTGCCAAAGAAGCCATGCATGGGGATTCTGAGTGCCCAGGAGTTCAAATAACTTAATGGCAGCTGCCTTGTAATTCCACAAAGTGGGCTGGCTAGGGTCCAGGTTTGTGAGTGAGTGAGTGAAGTATTAAATGCACCTTCTTTGGGGACTAAGTGGCAGATGTGAGCCCAAGAGAGAGACTTTCAGGATTGTTGATTTCAATCATTAAAATCATTTAGTGGTCAGGCCATTGCCAGGAGCCATTAGCTAAAATGTTAAGTGTCATCCTTACCTTGTAACTCAGTCTTTTAAGAGACAAAAACAAGATATTTTGTAATAATAAACCTTAACAATTCCTCAACTCACAACATACCCTCTTCACTCTTAGCAAAGAGCCTGACCATTTATATTATCAGGTGTTATATGCCAATAAGTTTATTCTAATTTACAGCCACCCAATAAGACAGCATAGAACTACCCTATCTCACTGCCATCGAGTCAGTTTTGACTCTGATCCTATAGGACAGGGTAGAACTTCCCTGTTTCCAAGGCTGTAACTCTAAGGCAGTGGAGAGTCTCATCTTTCTCCTGCAGAGACATTGGTGATTTCCAACCACTGACCTTGCAGTTAGCAGCCCAAATCAACCACTACGTCCTCAGGGCTCCTAGAACCACCCCATAGGGTTTTCTCATATATAAACTTTATACTGCCAGGTCCTTTCTCCGTGGAGCCATTGGTAGGTTTGAACTTCTAACCTTTGTGTTTACAGCTAAGCGCTGACCCACCACCAGGGCTCCTATGTCAGGTGAGAAGGGTATCAAATTCAGAGCCAAGTCCACTGGACCACAAGCATCAGAAACCCTGTCTCTTCTCCCTAGAGCCTTCATTCCTGTAGGTCTCCTTCCCTCCCTCTCAAATCCATTTCTGTGTCACCTCAGATCATTTTCATCATCCGACAAACATGTCTCAGCCCTACATGCTTTTGCTGTTTTATATTTCCCTTCATCTCCAAGGAGCCCTGGTAGTGGGTTTCGCATTGGGCTGCTAACCATGAGGCCAGCAGTTTGAAACCACTAGGTTATTCCATGGGCGAAAGATGAGGTTTTCTCCTCGTTTAAATAGTTAGAGGATTGAACTATTGAATTGTGTGTTATGTGGATTAAGTGCCAATAAAACTTTTAAAAGTTGAAAATAGTTTTTAAATTTGCATTTTGGAAACCATAAAAATATTTTTAACAATGAACACCCCATGACCTTGTGCTATTGAAGTAAAACCTTTTCTGAATGACAAAAAAAGAACAAGCTACATGACATCTAAAATTTTCTAGTCACCACATCAAAAAGTTACCCCCAAAATTAAGTTAGTTAGTCCAGTCCAATATTTTTAACATGTGATTGGAAAAAATAAATTTCAAAAATGATAAATTTCATTCTTTTTTTCTTTTTTTTTTCACATTCTTTTTATCACAGTTGTTGGTTCTCCTTGAGTCAACTCTGGCGAGTGGCGACCCCAAGTGTGCACAGTAGAATTGCTCCACAGGGTTTTCAGGGCTGCGACCTTTCAGAAGCAGATCCGCAGACCTTCCAAGCCTCCTCCATAGAGATTTGAACCACCAATCTCTCAGCCACTCAATGAGGCCTTTTTAGACTAAGTGTTTGAAGTTGGTGTACCTGGATTCAGAGTAGCCACATCGCAAGTAGTCAAAACCACATTTGGCTAGTGCCTCAGAAACAGTTGATCCACACACGTCCTCGTCTGCACTTGTAGGCTCCTTCCCTCTCCCCAGCCTTTCTCTTGTTCAAGCCAGGTGAGCTTTAGTGGAGATCATATTCATGCTGCCAAATCCAAAAGATGCTGCTCTGAGCTTGTGGTGGGCTTTGCATGAACTGGCCGCTTGATCCTCTCCTGGCTTCTGTGAAGTTTCACCGCCCCGTTCTTGTTCTGAAAATGACCTGAGGTTAGTTCCTGCCCATCTCTAGTCACTGGTGATCTTATGTAATCTCAGGGATTCAAATAGGGTGACTCAAGAATGCCATTGTATCCCTGTGTACACTCAGCGTTGTATTTCCGCAGCCTTTAGTCTGACTCCTGCCTCACCTCTATCTAGCCTCAGCATTGCCTGGCACCAGCTTCTAACACTAGCCTGCTCTATGCTCTAGGCCCCATTCTCCTAAGACTGCCCCTCCCCAAACCTGTTCCACCACTTTCTCCTCAGGCCCATCCTCTGGGTGGCTTTTTCATTACAGCACATGTAGCATACTTTGGGATATTTTGTGCTTATTTTCCCATTAGAACAAAGCCTGGATTGTAGGACTATACCACCGTTGCTCACTCCAAAAAAAAAAACAAACTTCATTGCCACTGCCATCCAGCCATTTCCAACTCGTAGCGACCCTACAGGACTGGTTCTCAACCTGTGGGTCGCCTAAGACCATTGGAAAACATCTATTTCCGATGGTCTTAGGAATCAAGACACAGCTCCTCTGTCTATCTCCAGTCGGGTTCGCCCACATCTGCCAGAAGAAGCCAGCTCCTAGCACAATCACTACGGGTTTGGTAGGCGCAATTGTACAGCGATAATAAGTAAGTATTAAAGTTATAGAGAGCATGAGAGATAAAAGATATATAGAAATAAATGGAGTCAGACACATTTCATGGTAGCATGCTCACCTCAGCCCCGCTTGGTAATCCACGTGGAGGGAGGGAGAGCGAACTTTAATGCTCCCCAAGCTTTTATACTCTCTGGGGACATTGGGGACGTGCAAGCCCCCACATTACAGGTGAAGACATGCGTCACAGGAAAGGGTTGTGCTACAGGTATTACAGTGATGGGACGGGGTGATCTAGGGACATATGCACTACAGAAGGAGGAGGGATTGGGGGTGTACATGCGGTAAGCTAGGCGGATCCTAGATTTCTGGTAGCAGCTTAACTTGATTTTGGGTCACCATAGGAACCATTATCAGTTGGGTGTGAACTCCGCCCACAGGAACCAAACTAATGGCCTTAGGCTCCAGAGAGAGGTAACCCATTGTCTCTAGCATCAGGGAGCAGGCCCACCCCCATGGTGGGATGAGACAGCAGTCTGGCAGGAAGTATCTGACTTCCCCCTACACACATCCAGTCGGGTACGCCCACATACAACTACCCGGCTGTTATCCATGCTATACAATGCTCCAAGACAAACTTTAATTTATTTGTCATTAGAAATAAATATTTCCAAAAAAAAGAAAAATATTTCATATAATTACGTTTTGTGATTAATCACTATGTTCAATTTGTAACAATGAAAATTTATCCTGCATATTAGATATTTACATTACAATTCATAACAGTAGCAAAATTAGTTATGAAGTAGCAATGAAAATAATTTTATGGTTGGGAGGTCACCGCATGAACTGTATTAAAGGGTCGCAGCCTTGGAAGATTGAGAACCACTGCTACAAGACATTGTGGAATGGTCCCCTTTGAGTTTCCAGAAATTTATCATAAATACTCGAGTATAAGCCGATATGAATATCAGCCGAGGCAACTAATTTTACCACAAAAACTGCATTAAAAATGTGCTGGAGTGCTCGCTTCGGCAGCACATATACTAAAATTGGAACGATACAGAGAAGATTAGCATGGCCCCTGCGCAAGGATGACACGCAAATTCGTGAAGCGTTCCATATAAAAAAAATGCTGGAAAAACTTGGCTTATGCTCGAGTATACAGTATACGGTAAATCTTTAGAGTACGCCAGAAACCGTAAAGTGAGTGAAAAGAGTGGATATTCCTGGAGCGAAGGGGCAGAATGCTAGTAGAAAACCGAAAACTAGGCACTGGGCTTAGAATCTTGTTGCAAAACTGAAATAAAGCCAACTCTCATCCAGGACTGGAAGAGCAGTGTTGGGTACCAGGCTGCAGAAGAAAGATCAGCATTAGGAA